GCTCCCGGAAGGCTCTCTTCGAGGAGGGAGCCTTCGCCAGCGTTCCTCGCGGTGCTGGTCCCGCTTCAGCCGAGGCTGAGCGGCGGCTGCATTCGTGGGGTTCGCAATTGGATTTGGCGGAGGGAATAGAGACGGGCGAGCCCCTATCTCCTTCCTCACCCGCCAGATCCGGTTCCCGCTCTCTGGGATCGGAAGCCCGCACTGCGGTTTCTTCCCCCCGGGGAACGGGCTCCACGCTCCGCCTATCTTCCTCCGAAGAGATTGATGTGGAGAGCGCCAATGAGGATTCACCCCCTTACTCAGCACAGTATGAGGAGTTGGTGGAGGTGGTTACTCGTGCCGTAGCTAAGTTAAATATCGATTGGCCGGCCAAAAAACAAGCTGAACCGCAGAAAAGTAAGCTAGATGAACACTTTCTGTGGAGTAAGCTACCACCTCCGCGCCGGAGCCTACTGTTCTTCCCCGATCTCCACACTGAGGTGTCGAAATTGTGGGCTAGACCATATTTATCTCGTCTATTTACCCCCACTTCCTCTCATTATGCAAATGTGGTGGGGGTTAGTGACCACGGTTATAATACGATGCCCTGGGTGGAACAGATGCTCGCGAGCTATCTGTCCCCTGGCGCGGCATCGTCCTTAAAGGCTCCGGCATTGCCCTCCAGGCAGTTACGCACAACATCTAGCCTGGTGGGCAAGGGGTATACGGCAGCAGGTCAGGCTGGTGCGTGTCTGCACACCATGGCAGTGTTACAGGCATACCAAGCAGACCTGCTAAAGCAACTAGATGAAGGCGAGGAAGTAAAATCTTACGATATAGCAGAGCTTCGCAGGACCACTGACCTATCTCTCCACGCCACCAAAGAGACCGCCTGTGCCATTGGGCGGTATATGGCAGCTCTAGTGGCAGCAGAGAGACATTTGTGGTTGACCCTGTCAGATATTAAAGAATAGGACAGGGTCGACGCCCTCATCGACGCCCCGCTTGCGCCTTCTGGCCTGTTCGGCGACGCCGTCAATTCCGTCGTCGACAGGTACCAGGAGGCCTGTAAACAGGCGGCAGCGTTCCAGCGGTTCCTCCCTCGCCATTCTCCAGCTTCGGGGGCTGCTAGGCGGGGGCAGCCCTCGCCGTGTACCCCCTCCTCCTCATACCGTGAGCAGCAAAAGCAGTGCGTCGCTTCTCGTGCTCCCCTGCAATGGGACCGAGGTCAGCGGCGCTCTAGGTCGAGGGCTTCGCAGTCGAAGCCCGACTTCGCAGTTCGGGGGTCTCCTGAGCAGCTAGTTCGGCCGTCTCCTGCCGGTCCTCTGCTTCAGGGCACCGAATTAGCAGCCACAAGTACACCGGAGGCCAGTCTCGAGAGACTGGTTCCCTTAGTAGACTATTTAGCAGCGTGGAAACTACTGCCAAATGTGTCTCGTTGGGTCCTGCACACTGTAGAGAAAGGCTATCGCATTCAGTTTGGCACTCCTCCACCACCGTTCAACGGGGTCTTTCCCACAATCGTGGGCCCCGGGCAGGCTCTGGTATTAGAACAGGACGTCAACACTCTCTTGAAAAAAGAGGCCATCGAGGTGGTCCCTCCTCACGACAGGGAGTCCAGGTTCTACAGCCAGTACTTCATTGTTCCGAAGAAGGATGGGGGGCTGCGTCCCATTTTAGATCTACGCTCAGTCATGAGACTGAAGTTCAGAATGTTCACCATCAAGCAGATCAGATCCAAGGACTGATTTGTTACGATAGATCTAAAAGACGCGTACTTTCATGTCTCCATCCTTCCCACTCACAGGAAGTTCCTGAGGTTTGCTTTCAGGGGCGAAGCTTACCAATATCGAGTTCTTCCTTTCGGCCTAGCACTCTCACCCCGTACTTTTACGAAGTGTGTGGATGCTGCTCTGGCTCCACTGCGACTCCAGGGCATACACATACTAAATTATATCGACGATTGGTTGATTTTGGCTCAATCGGAGCAGATAGCGGTTCGACACTGAGATGTTGTTCTTGCTCACATGAAAGAATTGGGGTTAAGACTAAACACCAAGAAAAGTGTGCTTTCTCCATTACAGAGGACCACTTATCTGGGCGTGGTGTGGGATTTGACCACGATGCAGGATCGAGTCGATCCTCACGGCAGTCAAGAGAGTCAGAGAAGGCCAGTCACTCACTGTCAAGCAGTTTCAGAAACTATTGGGTTTGATGGCAGCTGCGTCCAACGTGATACCTTTTGGCCTGCTGTACATGAGACTGCTACAGTGGTGGCTCAAGACCAAGGGGTTTTCCCCAAGGGAACAGTCCTACAGTGCTGGAGTTCCTGCAGGCCCGTCTCTCTGCAGGGTTGACCCACTCCCCCCTGAAGGTCTACGTGGTGGCCATTGCGGCCTACCACGCCCCTCTCGGTGGTCAGTCAGTTGGCAGACACCCCCTAGTTACACGTTTCCTCCACGGTGCGCTGAGGCTGAGGCCCCCAGTACGATCTCACGTTTCCACGTGGGACCTGGCTGTGGTGCTAGAAGCTCTTTGTAAGTCTCCATTCGAGCCTATAGAAGAAATTTCTGATCGCTATCTGACAATTAAGACTGCCCTTCTTCTGGCTATTACTTCTCTAAAAAGAGTTGGGGACCTTCAGGCCCTCTCAGTGGCCAAAGTGTTTCTCTACCCTCGAGCGCGGTATGTCCCTAAGGTTCCCTCTGTTACACCACAGCCTATCGTACTACAGGCCTTTTGTCCTCCTCCCTTCAGGGAGCCAGACCAGCAGAAGCTTAATTGCAATCCACAGAGCTGCCCTGTGGAGGAGGGCGGTCTTCCTGCTACTAAACAGACCCTCAGCCGGTGGATAGTCGATGCTATTTCTACTGCTTATGAGTCCAATGATCTCCCCTCGCCATTGGGGGTCAAGGCTCACTCGACCCGAGATATGGCGGCCTCCAAGGCCTTCTTGGCAAGTGTGTCCATGCAGGACATCTGCAACGCTGCGGGTTGGTCCACGTTCGTCAGGTTCTATGGCCTAGATATGCGAGCCACTTCTGGCTCTTCTGTTCTCTCGTCCTAGCTGTGCTCTTCCACTAGGCAGGGATTTGCAAGTCTGGCGGCGTGGGCATACTCGTTCCCAAAGCGTTCTCCGATGCAGCTCGAGTTCCTGAAGGGGAATGTCTCCAGGTTACGTATGTAACCATGGTTCCACAAAGGGAATGAGACGCTGTGTCTCAGGGCCATACTTCCGTCATCCCTGCGAGCGCTTGCTTCATTTCTAGAAGCTGACGCCGGTTCCACCTCACGTGCTTTTATAGCTTCCTGATCGCTACGTCACCCGCCTACGACGTCTCGCCGTTCCATTGGACTGATTAGTTCCCAAAGCTTGCTCTGACGCAGCGTCTCGTTCCCTTCGGGGAACCATGGTTACCTACGTAACCTGGAGACGTTTTTCAATACCAATACATAGAGGTATTCACTAAAAAATAGAAAATTCAAGAATACAGTTTTTGGAGCTCTTGAGATGGATTTGAGCCGTGTGTGTTGTTTGATGTGAGTGGTTTTTAATTTTGTTTCTGATTCTGACAGATGAGTTTCTGTTTTTAAAGTGTCTGTTATTCTTATATCTGCTTTTCTCTCTGTATTTTTAGGAATGGTGGATCTCGCATCATATTGTGCTAGACCAAGAAAGAAAGGTGCACGGTCAAAAGGTACATCACTCAACTTGTCTTGTTATTTTTTGAATGTGTATTTTTATCTGTCTTTTTCTCCATATCTGAATGTACTCTCATCAGTTTATTTCTGTATTCATAGCAATGAAGGCTTACATGGCATGTTCTTCTGCACCGTTTAAGAGAAGTAAACAGCCAACAGGCACATCACTCAACATGTCTTGTTCATTTCTCAGTGTCTGATTGTCACTCTTTCAATGCTTGTTTTTTAGCATGTGCTCTTAAAGCAATTTAATCGTGTTTTCTTTCAATCTGCAGACTGCAGCACGATGGTTGAATCTGCTGCTGCGTCACATCAGGGTAAATCAACACATCTGGCTCGCATTCACGAAACATTATCTGATCAGATGTGGACGTCGTATTATTATGTTGCAATCACAGAGCTGCTCTTAGATTTCCATCCCATCTGAATAGGCTACATCAGTCTTTTATCCCATTCTGTGTCTATAAAGTGTACACCATTTCTTCTATTAATTGCCCTTAACAGTAACTAGAGATCATATTAATCACTGACAAACTATTAATGGGTAAATGTAGTTTCCTGGTGTAGCACTCTTGAATGTTTGAATATGCTTAAATATCTCAGATATTACATGTGGATGTTGCCGATTGGAAGATTAACGAATGGGCATCAAATGAAGGTCTGCTTATGGAAATTAAATATGTTTCTCAAGGGTTTTGTGCTTTTGCTCTAAAGCAGGGGTGGGCAAACTTGGCCCTTCCAGGCCACTTTCCTTCAGAGGTTAGCTCCAACCCTGATCAAACACACCTGAACCAGCTAATCATTGTCTTCAAGTTTACTAGAAGGCTACAGGCAGGTGAGTTTTATCAGGGTTGGATCAAATCTCTGCAGGAAAGTGGCCTGGAAGGGCCAAGTTTGCCCATCACTGCTCTAAAGACTTTAAATAGTGCAAAAACACTGCATGTAGATCGTTTCAGAATAATTAACTTGATTATTAATGGAAATGAGTAGTGATGTTTTCTTTGAGGAGATGGAAAAGAGAAAAGTTTGTACATACAGTAGTAGCCTGTATTGATAGCATCACACTTTAATCATCATGCACACGTTTCTACAGTAAGGATTTGGTTATGTTTGGGTTGCAATTAGATATTGTTTTTTTGTGCATGTCTTGCGTCAGCTGGATTTTTTTGTCATGTAAAGCTGAACTCTACATGATGACATCATCACTGCGTTTGGATGGTGATGTCATCACCGCTGGTCTGTCTGCTTCGGGTGCTGAGGTCAAACCTTCAGAAATGGCAAAACTCGCTCTGTTTCAGAACATCGAGAAACAGGCATAACTGAGATCCCTTTATAGTCCTGAAACGAATCCTGTCTGCACTGATCTGCTTTACTGACAATCATTACAGAAATCATGCTGCTTCCTTCTGTCTAATCCATGCGTGTGTTTCAGCCGAACCCGAGCCCCGGATGGACCCTTTGCTCCAGCTGATCTCTCTTCAGAAGGCCGCGGGATGCTGGGAGCTGAACACTGCACTGGCTGACGTGTTTGGGAAGACGGAGGACGAGGTGACCAATCAGAAACCAGCACAGGTGGGACATGTGATGTCATATCCTCAGGTACGTCATGATTCGCTCTGTGTGTGACGTGTGGTTTGTGTTTCAGGTGGACGGGTCAGTGTGGGCCACTGTCCTCGCTCTCATCTGGTTACACGTGTATAAATTAGATCAGCAGGTCGAGTGGCAGTTTGTGGCCATGAAGGCGGCGTCATGGATCCGCTCTCAGAAACGTGAGACGACGTTCATTAATTCGTTCAGTGCTGCTGTACATGTTCTTACAGTGGTGTGTGTGTGTGTGTGTGTGTTTCAGTGGACGGCCTGTCTCAGTGTGTGTGTGACGGGAACATGCTGTTAGGATCTCAGGTGACTGAAGACGCGCTGGGAATCTGAAGACTGAAGAATCTTGTGCTGTCAGAAGACCAAAGAACTCTCACTCTTTATCATATACATCTGCGTGTTTGTTTACTAGGGTAAAATATAAACATTTTTAACAGAATAAAACTAACAACTAACACATTTCTTTCTGTATCAGTGGCAGAGGGATTTTTTTTTTGTGTGTGTATGTAAGCTTTAGGGCCTGTCCTAAATTCATGTTATTGCTCTAAATATAGTTCTAAATGTATAATCGTATGGTACTTTGTGTTCTGAATTCACTGAATCATGGATTCTGTGTGATCATGACTCCATTATTGTGCTGTGTGTGTTGTAGTGAGCAGATTGTGTCGGTGTGTCTTTACCAAACTGTGTCATTAAAGGTGCAGTAAGCGATTTCTGAGAAACACTGTTGAGAGTGGATCAGCAGTAAGGGGCGTGTCCACTCATGATAAGGGAGGAGCTGGTGAATGTGGGGGTGGAGCTATCGAGATAGGGGTGTGGTCATTTGGGGTGGGGGTGTGTTTGTTTTGCTAATTTCAAATTTCAGCGGCGCTTTTCAAAAAATGGCTTACCACACCTTTGAAGTGTCTATTAACTAGCCATAATTATTAGTCTGATATTTAGAATTGCATTTAATGCATTACAGTTAAGAATTAGATTATGTAATTATTAACTGCCAAGGACAATAATTCTAATAATAAGATGTCTACATTTTACAAAAAAAATTAATATACTGATTGTAAAATACCCAGATTTAATATGAACTGTGACCTTCAATTCAAATTTATGAATACACGTGTGGCTATTCTCTACAGCTACAAATTCCACTGTCACAGATGCTTAGTTTTGCTCTAAAAATACCATCGTACTCCTCTTACTAATGACAATGAACACTGATATGACATGTTGTACCGTTCCTGAAAATATGATACAATAATCGCAATAAAGCCATACCATTTACACAGTGTATTTGACATGAATGAACCTTCATTTAACACATAACAGTGTCAACAACAATACAGTCACAGCAGCAGCATCATTCTCGTTCACAGCGCATCTCTGGTCCTCTAGTGGCTCACTACAGAACAGCACGACTGCTTTCTCTTCAGCAGCCCAGGGGGGGAGGGGCAGATGCTTTGGCCAGCGGGCCACCTGAACTAACCAGCCTAGCCAACTTAACCAACCTGACCAACTTAACAGGACCAGCTAACAAGCCTAACCAAGTTAACCAGCCTAACGTCTGCTAAATACACTAATAGAGTTTCATTTCAAAGCTGAGAGTGACTGATACTATTGAAACTCTGAGCTCCACCAATGGTGTTCATCTTTTGTTCATGTGGTTACAGTACACTGCCAAACTAACAGACATCTTCATACACTCAATAATGATCACTGTAGCTCTGTCTGTAGACCGACCTTAAATCTCCAGCTGCCAGACATTTTAAGTCAATCACTCTGACCAAACTCTCTCTGTTTGTGGTGTTGACTGAGTGAATCTATCTTGTAGATATTCTGACAGTGAATAAAGATTATGACAGTGTGAAAGTCTTTGGATTTCTCAGGTTAAAACTGAAGAAGCTATTGGACTCGATGAGACTTTAAATGTCTCGTTGTTTATGGATGTCTTTCTCGTCTCTCTTCTGTTGTTTGTTGCTGTAAGCATTACAGAGGAAAGGCCTGGAAGTGGCCTTCATTAATGAAGGAAAATTCGGACCGGTTTACACACATGGGCCAGTGTTTGATGGCAATTAGCATCCAAAATGGAAATATCTCTGGACCAAGTGTCTATATGTTTTTTTCCTGATCTCAGATTAGGAAGAGACAAACAAAAAAAATACTGGAAATGAATAAAGAACATATATTATATAGACATACTTTATATTTAATGGCATTAGATGATTTGTTAATTGCATTTAATAGATTACACATTCAATAAAACATTTGGAATTGGCTTGTAAAAGCTGTTTTTATGTTTGCTTGAGCTGAGTTTCCGTTGCATTTACAGCGTTCTGATCAGCGCGTGGCATTTCGAGCGATTCACTGAGTCACTTTGTGAAGCAATTGTTTCATAGTCACTAGGCAAAGCTGGTTTTCTAATATATTTAGGCATTACCAGTGCCATAAACGCGCACATTTAGCATTGTTTTTGGAGTTTACAATAATACAATTATGTTTTATAGGGATTCAGTTAGTCAACGTGTGTATTTATTGTAAATCGCTCTTGTAATCTTTCTAATCTTTTACTCAAACTGATTCCAAAGCTTCAGTTTTTGATCTCTGTAATACTATAAACATCTTGTAATGACAGTGTTTTTTAATTTGTGTAAAATCAAAACTGGAGTCCAAGTCTTTTAATATGATATAAGTCTGTACGGTTGTCATAAAGTCATGAGCTCCTCAGAGCTTTAGTCCAAAAGTGTGACATTTGAAGAAAAAATGGATTCTCTTCAAATTAATTTGGATAAACATATCTCTCTATTCCTATCCAAAATGGGGTGATGTGATGTCATTCACTGCTTTAAATCATTAGAGCCCTGAATTTATAGTAAAACGCACCTTAAATTAGTATTACAAAATTTTTTTAATGCTTACACACAGTTTTTGAAACTATGACTCCATTTCTCAAAACACTACACACAAAACCACAAAGCACACACACAACATGCAAAACGTCACACATATCTTGCAAAAGCAAACACTTCATTCAAAACTATTTAAACTCTTTTAAAAATGGTATTTTTGCGTAGTAACTCTACACACAATCATAAAACAATTAGCCTCATACACGCCAAACTACACACAGATGTGAAGAATGTAAAACACTCATGTGTCTTCTGTTTGTTCAGAATGCAGTGGAGCACAGGAGTTTGTCACAGCACTCACACATACATGCATATGCACATATTCACTGTATATACAGTATGTATGTTCAACTGATGAATTTACAGTTATGCAACTGAACTGACTTGAGCTCTATAATGACACTATTGATTTGTTAGAGCTGCTTTACAGCAGAATTTGATACTATTGTGAAACTGCTGTGAAAAAAATCTATATTGTATAAAGCACTTTCGAAATAAAGACTTTCTGACTTGGCTTGTATGCATATTTAGTGTGTGTGTATATATACTGTATATATGTATATGGTCACCCTAACTAAGGCTCACAGTGTGAATGTAGCCTTAGTGATGGAGAAACAAAGCTTTTCCAAACTCTCAACTGAATCAAAATGATTCAGTGTTTGGAATCACTGGCAATGTCTGTTGATCAAAATGCTGGAAGTGCAATGAAAATTCAGCCCAAGCATAAATATAAATTACACCACAAACCAATTGCCTTTTCATGAAATCTACCATTGTAATATATTAAAAATATTAAATATGAAGGTTGTAAAATTTCTGTTATTTTCTTATTGTAGTGCTTGTTGTGTGTGTTATTTGGCAAACTAAGTCAATTATAAACAATTAAATATTGTTACTCTTTTTCCTATTATAAACACACATAAGTATTAAACTTCAATATAATTAAACATCAGTTAAAATTCTTTTGTGTTTCTGATTCACTTTAATTTCATACAAATTGAACTGGAAGTATTTGAATTAGTATTATATATATATATATATATATATCAAATTTTTGTTTCCTATCTTTCCTTAAATACTTTCTGCTGAAGGGAACCATTGTATTTTTTCTGCTGCTGTCATTCGGTGCTCTAAAGGCCAGTTGACGCAGCACATACAGTCGCTCACAGACAGTGTGTCAGGTGCAGTGGGCTCGGTGTACAAGCACAGGTCCAAACAGAGGAAGATCTTCATACAGCTAGGCATAGGCATGTTGAAGGTTATGGGGGAATCTGAGAGCAAAAGGACTGACACTGTGGACAGGACACTGGACGGGATGTCTTTAAGTGGAACTGCAATGGAAATGGAGGTTTGTGGTGTTGTGTTTTCTGCTGCTTTTGGAGAGAGTTGAGCTCTTTGTGTCCTTACATTAGACCGTGCTTATGAGCAGCCCTCAGCTGAGCTGAAGCTCTTCCATCTGCCCAGGTTTCAGACATGGGACGCAGCACAGATACCTCTGTTGGCCTTCAGAATCCGGCTTATGCACAAACCGCTTCCTCAGTACTTCAGCAACAGACTGGTCCAGTTTCTAGAGGACCTGGGACCCCAAGTAACCGCTAAAGTAAGGCCTAAGTGAGTCAGAGAGTTAACAAACTGCAGAAACTCTCAGGACTCCATGCAGCAGCCTGTTGTTTACAAATGAAAGTTTACCTTTTCCTTTCTGTTGTATTTTGTTGCTTAAAATTTAATTATCATTTTGACTGGTCTTGAGTGCTAACTTGGCCTGTTTGTTTTTTTTCAAGGCAGACATAATCAAAGCAGAGTCATTCTTTCCCAATAAAAAGTGACAAGTGAGTCAGAGAGTTAACAAACTGCAGAAACTCTCAGGACTCCATGCAGCAGCCTGTTGTTTACAAATGAAAGTTTACCTTTTCCTTTCTGTTGTATTTTGTTGCTTAAAATTTAATTATCATTTTGACTGGTCTTGAGTGCTAACTTGGCCTGTTTGTTTTTTTTCAAGGCAGACATAATCAAAGCAGCTGCTGAGAAGGACAGATTATGGCTGGAGTCCTCGGGGGACAAAGAAACTTCAGGTCTACAAGAGCAGAAAGAATTAAAACCACTTTAAAGAGAAGTGAGCTGATTATGAAGCAAGAGAGGAGAAAATTAAACCAAAAACTCCAAAACTTGTGGTCAAAAAACCTTTCAGTTTGTAAACATAAAAGAAGAAAAAACATGGACAAACAGCAACAGAGAAGAACAACAAAAATTTATAATAAATATATCAAACAAACAAGAAAATTGAGCATCTAGTATCCAGTACCCCCCCCCCAATACAGACAGAGGAAGAGACTGAATGTGGCCTTCTGGACTGGATGAAGGACAAACCGGACTGGCTCACGCACACAGATCTAGTGATGAACTGACGTTTCTCTCAACAGCTGTCTGTTTCTGTGAGTTTAACTGTTAACTGTTGATCATCAGTAAAGTGAATCTTGAACCGATGACACTCGAGTTGAGGCTCTTGAT